ATAGTGAAAAATGTTTAAACAAAAGTTATATGGTTACATGGAGGACATAAGAAGGTACCATTGGTTTGCCCTTGAGTGGCGCCGCCAAGGTCAGGTCGAGGTCAATGTTACTTTTTAAATAGAAATGTATATATTTTATTACAAAATTTTATTTTGCGTAAAGAAACAAACTTTTGTCTGAAAAAATTTTTTATACGACTTCTACTTTTTAAGATATTTCTGTAAATATCTTAAAAAATAGCAGTCCTATAAAAAATATTTTCAAACAAAAGTTGTTTGTTTGTTTACGTAGAATAAAATTCCATAATAGAAAATGAAGGCTTCTATTTAAAAGAGCAAAGTTGACCTCGACCTGACCTTGACGACGCCATCCAAGGTCAAACCAATGGTACCTTCTTATGTTTTCCATCGTACCATATAACTTTCGTTTGAAGTATTTTTCGCTATGAACCCAATCTTCGCAGTAATTCGCGTGGGTCGATTAAAATAGTCTACCCTCTATATATAAGGTATAGTAAAAAGAAATCCATTATTTTTGCATGAAATTGAAGGCTTTATTTAGCATAGTTAGAATGATCCGATTTAGGTCAAATATGCACCGTTTTGTTCAATAACTTGTTGCCATTTTGAAGGTAATTCCATTATGTCCCTCTCATAGAAACCCTTGTCTCTATTGGCAAAAAACTGGGACAGTCGATTTTCACAAGCTTCTCTTGAGGCGAATTGTTCACCAGCAAAATCATTCGCCAAAACATAGACAGGAACAGGTGGTAATCACTTGGTGCCAGGTTCGGACTATAAGGTGGATGCATAAGAACCTCCCAACCAAGCTCCCGGAGCTTCTGGCGAGTCACTATCGATGTGTGTGGCCTGGCGTTGTTCTGATGGAACACAATTCCTCTCCTATTGGCCAAAGCTGGCTGCTTCTGGGCGATTGACTCTTTCAGACGGTCCAATTGTTGACAGTACAGGTCCGAATTAAGACTTTGGCCGTAGGGGAGCAGCTCATAGTGGATGATTCCCTACCAATCCCACCAAACACACAGCAAAGCCTTCCTGACCGTCAATCCTGGCTTGGCCACCGTTTGCGCCGGCTCACCGTGTTTCGACCACAACCGTTTTCGCTTGACGTTGTCGTAAGTGACCCACTTTTCATCACCAGTCACCATCCGCTGCAGAAATTGGTCAATTTTGTTACGATTCAGCAGCGATTCGCAGATGGAAATTCGGTCCATGAGGTTTTTTTG